TGGCCTACTGATCCTGTCTCCTCTGCTGGCTTCTAAACATGGATCCTGAAGATGTAAAAATATCCTGAAGATACTTTGGGTATAGCATATAAAATAAAAAGTGAAAAGTCATTACTCAACATTATCTTCCCAAAAACTGATTCCCAAGTTTGCTCCCTAAATATTTACCAGTAATAAAAATATGTATAAAAAGTAATAGAACTTTGTGATCAAGGTATCACTATATATACAGTGGCAGTATATATAGTAACAGGTCACAAAGTTCTTTCCACAATTCTGCTCTCTTCTGTAAACTCTTCTGTTATTTTTTCAACTAAGGATCCCTAATACAGACTTGAAACAAACAACTACTTCCTATCACATTCAGAACAAATCCAAGATTAGACAAACTCACAGGAACTCTTCAGCAGTTCAGCAGGAAATGACCGCAAGGGACCCTAAGTGACCATTTGTAGTTAATGCTGTCTGAGCAGCAGCGATGGATAACAATGCACAAGACACCAGCTGGATTTGGATTTTCCCGGCCTTTCACAGCCAAGCAGTATAGACAGGGGCTGTCAATCAGGCCTGGTTATTACCATCAACCCTGGATGCATCTCTTAACCCATGGAGGTGTGGGGTCAGGGCCAGCTTAACTGGAATAAGGCCAGTGAAGTCCTTTCCTTAGCATGACTAGCGTCACCGAGGGACCAGAGGCAGGTGAGACCTTCCCACATTGTTATGGTCACAACAGTCACCAAAGCAGGACACCTGCCAACCCTGCCACCCCAAAGGCCCACCTAGAGAAGTCTACATGGACCTGGGCTGGCACACGAGGTTACATGTACCAGAGGCTTACATTCCACTAGTTTTCCAAATGGGTGGAGACAGCTTAGAATTTTAGGAAAACTTGACATCCATAAAACAACCACTAAGCATGACCCTAAACTCAGAGCAGAGACCAAGTGCTCTGCTGAGAACGCCATAAACAACTCTGCCTCACCCCTTCCACCTGAGCCTCACCACAGCCTCTGGAGTGGGCATCACTGTCATAGACCCTGCCTTACAGATGGGGAAGACCCAGAGCAGTGAGGACATCGCCCATGGGCGATGACCCAGTCAGGGAGCCACAGTGCCTGGGCTTCACATGGGAACGCAGTGCTATTGGGTTGGTGACCACTGTGTCACACAGCACCCTAAACCAGAGCTTGCGCTTCCTCGGAGGGACTCTAGGGTGTTTGCCACCAAACGAACAGGCACGGACAGCGGTGCACTGAAAATGAATTTGATTCCAACTTCCTCCCAGCCGGTCCTTAAAGAAAAGGGCAAAGAGTGACCTCAACATGGTAACCGAGGGGCTGCTCCTGCACACAACTGTCAAGGCTAAAACTGGAAGCACAGGGTGCCCTATTAGCAGACTTCTGCCATGCTTCAGTAGGCCTCAGATCATTAAAAAAGTATAAAATCTCATGGCGCCTTCAGACCCGGCCTGGCTCTCTCAGCCCCTCCTCACATCCTCATTAAAATTACGGAAGAATTTCCCAACCTTCTGCTTAGCAAGATGAAGGGCTGCATGACGGTGAAGCCTGGCTAATCATTGAGTTCCAGGCACACCTATTACAGGAACCAAGGCTGGGAGAAGGGGACACAAACCCCAGGTTAAACTGTGATCGGTCAACTCCAGCTGTGCTCTAATTTTGTTCTCCAGAGTCATCTGGGATTGCTATCTCAACAATATGAAAAATGAAACAAATTTCCCTGGGTCACAAGCAGATTCAAGGCAATGGCTCCTCTCAAGCCTGGTCTTAATCTTGTCAGAACTTCAAGATAAAATGAAATAAAACCTCTTAAAATGAGATGAAATGTTAGCTCCGAAATCAACAATAAGCTTTATGCAGATGGAGATAGTCGTTTTTATCTTTGTTTTCCTCCACAGCAACACCTTGTACATAAGCTGTCTTAACTGCAATCTTAGAGACTCAAGCGGGAAAGATCTTTCGCTGTCATTTGGTGTGGATAAACTGTCATATGTATGGATAAACTGAGGTTCAGAGATGGGAAGCAAACTGCCCAGAGTTGCAAAACTGAGTCAGGACCCACTGAGTTAAATGGGAAGGACCCGTTCCCTAATTCAGATGAGGAAACATCTCCCATCACCACTGTTCTGTAGAAAGGAAACCTTGGGACCAGTGCAAGGTCCAGGACTTTAATCAAATCCAGGTGATGTCACAGGGTAGCACAGATCTCATGCAGAGGTAGAAAAGGAAAATGGATATTTTAAGAATTTTGTGAAAAATAAATGAGCAACCATTCAAGTAGAAAAGACAAAACACTTATAGGGAGAAGAGCAAAGCTCTTCTATGATATCTTGAAAGGTATAGAAAAACTGAAGAAATTTTAGACTAAATATTTAGTAGAGATTTTCCAGCCAATTTATGCTTCTATCTAGACTAAGGGTAATGATTTTGAATTACTAAGCAGGAACATAGCATCACTGCGTTCAAGCAAACTACCAGAGCGGCTACTACTGGCTGGCCACAGGGCCAAATCCTAAGGCCTACAAAGTAACAGCCACCCTTGGCGAGCAAAGCCAACGCCAAGGAAAGATGGGCCAGCTCCCTAACACTCAGCTGCCACAACATGGCACCAGACCCCAGAGAAAATCTCCGAGTGTCTGCCGCAGCTTCCCACCCCATGTCCAGTAGATCGACAGATCAATGCATCAGTCTTCACAGTATCCCTAGGCACCAGCAGCCTACTCAGAAGAACAAGCATTGCTGCAGGGATTAAGTGTGTCGGACAGTGATCAGACAAGGATCAATAGATCAGACAGACAGACGGACAGACAGGAAAAGGTAATGATGGCAAGTGGGAGAACTGGGCGGGCGTTATCAATTTGGACTGGGGCGGAGAGGGAGTGAGGCATCCTGTGAGCACAGGAGCCCGAGTTTGCTGTGACAAGCAAAGGAAGGCACACAGCTGGGTGGGACACAGTGGCAGAGATGTGGGCCAAGGTGCGCACAGACGCCGGGGCCAATCTGTGAGCAATGCCCAGGGCTGGGGATGAAGGCCAAAGGCTCCCCAAGCCAGCTGGGGGACAGCCCTCCACTCCAGCCTGGAGCCCGATAAAAGGGCTACACACAGCTGTCTAGTTTGCCATCGCTAATCGCATTTTTCAAGCCCTTTTCTTTTTCAAATAGGGTGCAATTTCATTCTCTGGATTCTCCACGGCTGATGAAAGCAGATGGGTTCTAAGTTGCATGATTTCTACAGTGTCTCTGCCGCTCCAGCTCAGCAGCCAGACCTCACAGCCAAGGACAGCTGGATAGATGTGTGCAGACCTGAGGGCTCCGCCAAGCTTCCCAGCACTCGTTTTGCAAGAAATCATTTGCAAAACATCATTTCTTTGTCCTGGTTGGACACAGGATCCACAGAGTTCCTTGCGGTCTCTAAACATGAAACTTAAGCAGCAAAACTGGATCAAAAGTACCCTAAAGTACACTGTGTCCAAGTTTCACCACGTTTGAAGAAAAACAAATGCATGGAAGTACTATAGAAAGATCTGAAATGAGCACACGCGTATTGTTCAGGAAGGCTAATTTAGCAAAAACAAATCTTATTCACCTGAAAAAAAAACAAGTTTGCCTTACAGTCAGATTAGCCATGCTTCAGAATCTGGAGTGCTCCAGTTTGAAGTACAAGAATTCTTTGAAACAGGTTAGCACTTGCCATTTGCAAAAATATCTCTTGCTCTTCTTTTCTTTCCCTGTTCTTTCCTTCTTTCTCTCTTCCTTCCTTCGCTCCCTCCCTCTCTCCTTTCTTCTCCCTTCCTCCCTGTTTTCATTTCTTTCAAGCATGCTGCTTCAGGTTTCCACTCTGCAGCAATCTCCCCGTGAGGAGCTGAATGAATCTCTACAATATGTCTGCAAAGCCACCCCTCAGAGCTCACCCTACGTCCAGGCTGCCGAGGAGAACACCTTTCTATTGGGTTAGCCTGTCAGGCTTTGAAAGGGGATTGTCTATGTGTATGTTTGGGAGGGACAATCCTCCTATTTTTTTTAATGCCCACATAAACAATTCCTTAAAAAGGAGCTTGTGACTTGGCCATGCCCCGAGCTCAATTCTTCTGCGGAGAGTGGTAAAAACACTCCACTCTCCTTTCTATGCTGATGATACAATGGTTTTCAAAGAGGTTCAGTCCTGCTCTGAAGGACTCCCGCGCCACCTCTAAGGGTCTCACAGAGAGTCAGCACAGGCCTTGAATAAACAAGGGGGCTAGTAACCTTCGCCCCTTTCTGCCAAAGCCACACATCCTGCAGCTAGAAAGGAGCCAATATACCGCGTGGGTGCTGTGAGCCCTGGCCTCCAAGTCACTCCCATCATAGACTCCTCCATAGTTCAGATCTCTCAGGGCTGTATGCAGCGCCAGGGAGCAAGAGAAAGGTGCATTTGTGGAACCGATGGCTCTGCTGTCCTGTCCCCTCCCTCCCCTGTATTGCTGAGGCCCCCAGCCTGCACCACATGCTTCACCAGCAACAGGCAAGACAACAGATTTAGCCATATCCGAACAATTAGTCCAATTAGGCCTGCTTCCCAGCTGAAGCAAAGGGTAGGGCAGTGAGTGTGGGGAAACACTAGAGAACCGGGAGAGACGTATCTCATCAGAGGAGCAGTCAGGCGGGGTAAAGTACATGGAACTGTGGGTCAAGAAACACTGCCACAATTCACCATGTGGCATTATGGAAACACCTCACCCTTCCCGTGCCCATCTCTAAGGCTAGGGAGCCACGGAAGAAAGCCTGTCCCATCGCAGCTGAGAGAGCACCAGAAATACGGACAGCTATGCAGATGGGCAAGATTCCTCCTGGGCTGCACCTGAAGCCACACACACCCATCTGTCTCCTACGTCATCTGCTTTTCACACTCGCTGGCAGAACGCTGGGAGAGAATGGCTTGTTTTCTTAATTCCCATCTCTGTTCCCAACTGTGGTTTTGGTTCTGAGGTCACGAGCCATACTTACATGTGGACGTGGGGCGGCTGGAAGCGGCTCTGGTTGATGTTGTAGTGGGTGAAGGCCTGGGTGGGGTTTGAGCTGTACTCATCCACCGTGATGGTAACCTTGCCTTGGGAAGCAATGCCATGTGCCATCTTCCGGCATGCGCAGGTCACAGCTTCCAGGAGCAAACGAGGGGAGCAGGCATGGTTCGCTTCAGCCACCTTCTGAATCCAAGGTTCCACTCATCAATACTGCCGTGCCTTTCTACAAGAAAGAAGACACAGCTGTGGGTTCATGTGTACACACAGAACATGAGAAAGATGGTTCTAAGAGGCATCAGTGGGACTAAGGGGGTGCAAAATAACCACTGAGATATGTTACGTGCAATGCAGACCCCAGTGTGAATATAATCACGTACCACAGACTAAAAACTGCAAAAAGTCTTTGACATCTAGACATAAACTTGGCTCTAGAAACATCTGCCCTGGAGTGGCTGCTTCGTGGACACAGCTGCTCCCGGCTCTCTTCCCCACACATGCTGTGGACTGGCCATTCCACTCTCTGCGGTGTGACTGGGCGCTGGCAAATCGTCTCCCAGCCGTTCGAATTCAGATTTCCTCTTTAATTATAATTATGGCACTTAACGTGAATTACGGAAGGGGCAAACCCACAGTTGCCATGGCATCTGGCTATAAACGGCTTGTGCTCAGAGAGAAGACTCTTCCAAACTCTCCCTGCTAATTGGAACGTTTGGTTTTTGTAAAGTTGGTTTCAGTTATCCCTTTGAAATCTTCATGTTTAAGAGACCTGTGTAACACATGACAAATGTAAGCAAGAAAACATAATGCTGCACTTACATCAGATACCTGAGCGGAGCTAATACGCACCCATTACAGATGACTTTCATTTTCCTGAGAAGTTCCCCAAACACGCAAGGCCTTAAATCATATGCATTTGTCTCTGGCTAAGAATTCTATGGTCAAGCGAACTTCCTGCTAAGTGTAGTCTTTAAATGTGTCAGTCATGTGTCACGGAAAAGTCCACAGCATCTAGGACTAGACTACCAGTCCAGTGGGCCAGTTCATTACCACTCCACTCCAGGCCCTGGCAGACAAGGCAGACAGCAACCAGGACATCTGCCACCTTGTTCTTGCTTAATTTATCTCACTAGTTTTATTTCTTTTTTCCATGAGTTCTGATTCTTTGTAAAATGTCACTATGTTAGCTGCCACACTGGGTAGAGAAAGGAAGTTGTTTGTCTCACAGTAGGTGTGCAAAGCCGGAGAAAAGTAAATCTGGGTGTGGATCTGTGTGCCGTGCTGTGCCGTGCCGTGGAGCCATGTGGTAGAGATGAACCAGAAGCAACCTTCTTGGGAACCTGACCCCACAGTCCTGCTTGAAATGCTCAGAGCACGCCTGCTATGTGCACCACTGAACCCCAAAAATCTTAGCTGCTATCACAAATAAAAATATATAGAATAAGATTAGATTTAAATTTGGCACAAAACACCTGAAATAGACAGCAAAAGGCAGATGGACCTTCTATTATTTTACAACCATAGACCCGTCTATTATTTTACAACCCAAAGCTTGCAGCACCCCGTGTGCGTGGCTTGACTAAGGGACCTCCGTCGCTGCCATCCTTCCATTATCCCGTTAGCAGAGCAGGCTCCTATGTAATGCAGCCAGCCTGCATTCCTCGGGTACATGGGCACCACTGAAAGATTAGTCCCTGGTGCTCTGGCATTAGGATCAGAGCAGTTCTGGGTTCTCTTGCCTTTCCAGGCTTTCTGAGAGGTAATACTCCTCAAGCCCAATCCATGGACAGCCAGGCCAGTAGGATTAACTAAATTAAAATCCTTCCCAGCTTCTCCGATGTAAAATATCCATAAGAACTGCTTACAAATCATAATGCAGCAGTTTTCATACCAAGTTTGCAGCTGTTTCCTTAATTTCCACCACAATTATATTTTACTGTTGTTTTGCATAACAGTAAAACACAACACCTGCTTCAAATTGCAGTCCTGTTCTGAGTACTGTAATTCTCTTTTGAGACACAAAGTACCGAGACAGTACTGAAGCGCAAAACTGCATAATTGCGTGGCGCTGAAAAGTAAATACAAATGAAAACATCTTCCTGTTATAGAAATGACTATCATTAGAAAGAGCATTCGCCATCAAAGCACAAGGGGGGGAATATGCATTTTTCAGTCTGCAAGAACGTAGTGTTTGCATAAATTAGAACAGTGCATAAAAATCACTTGGCGATTCTGATGCTCCTTCCATCAATGTCTATTGTGTGAAATGCAGAACCTTCAGAAGAAAGGAATCCAAACTCAGGTCTAGACCCAAGCACAGGCCTCACTGTGTCAGACTGCACCCAGAGCTGCAGAGTTTAGAGGTTCTGGGGTAAACCCACTCAGAACCATGTGGCTTAGAAATCGAGGGTGCAGACTTGGTGTTTAAACATCTCTCAATGACTTGAGGGAGCCAGCAGCACACACTCCCCAGTGCTCCTGCCAGAAGCCAAGGGGAAACAGACCTGAGACAGGGAGAGTCCATACTCCTATGTGTCCTCTCTGTCCCCAGCAGGACGTCCAGGCCTCTAGGAAGACGAACCCAGCACCCCCACATCAGCAGCCCAGGGCCCATGACTCCAAAGGCCTAGGCAGGCAGCAGCTCCTCATCTGAATTCATCTTCAGCGTGGCCCCTTTCAAATGTTTTATCCAAACAGTGCACCTGCCGCGCCTGTCTCCTTTAATCTGGAACCCTTTGAAGAAAATGTCAGACTGAGGCAGAGAGCTTCAAAACTTTCACAGCATCTTTACAGAAAAGTCAAGAAAAGGCTGCTTTCTTAAAATGCTCTGTCGCCTCCACCCACATCTCCAAATGAACCTGTCCTAAAGGATATTAAGCACCAACACAGGACGAATTGGCTTTTTTTTTTTAACTGTTAGAGACAGAGGTCGATGAGCAAAATCATCTCTCTTAAACTGAGAACTGGGAAAAGCCTCAAAGCAAACAGGAAGACACTGCCTAAAACTATCAAGAGATGGCCTCGCCTTGCTGCCCACTTTTAGGCAATAAAACTGTCCAAATGACCATATTTCACCGCCTCCTGCCCTCTTCACACTGATGTTAATGTTTCATCCACAGCGTAGGAGAGCAGTTTTCTCTTTCAACTTTTCACTTCCTAGTTCAACACATTTGCCCCACGAAAACAAAGGCATCCACTCCAGAGCACCAAAGCTTCAAACAGGGATTGATCCTGGCAAACACCGTGCTGGTGTTAAGTTTAATTTGCTTTTTAAAAATGTCATGTGAGCGCATTTTGCATTTCCTAGACAGCAGTTACCATCCTGTCTCTTAGACTGCACAACTGGAAATGTCCTTTCCTGGGGATCCACTGGGAAACCCTCTTCACATGCGGCTGCAAGGCAAGGATTAAATCTGAAGAATTAAATAACAGTCTCCGCCTCTTAGATACCAGAAGTCCAATTTTCCCAAAGTTTCAAGGCCACAATTCACGACCTCTCCGCCTGGAACCCTGTCTGGCAAAGGCTACAGGAAAGGTGCCTGCGATCTCCTTGGTAGAGCAAGGAGGCTCAGTTTATCCCTGGCCCTAAGCATATCCTGCGTCCCCAGCCTGCGTCTCCAGCGTGCTGTGCTGGGACTTTGGAACTCGCCTGACTGTTCTAACTTGGCCACACTTCGTTGTCTCCTCCCTCTGCCTCGCACCCTCAGCGCTGTCCTAGCTCACGCCCCTACTTTCATGCCCACTAGCAGCTCCCCATCCTGGGCGCTCCAGCCCTACCCACGCGCCCTCCCCCACCGCGCCTCCGCCAGAGTTTTTGGAGGGTGCAGACACGAAGACCCACGTGCCTCTCCGTGCTCAGGGCGCCCCCCTACACACACACTTACACCTGAACTTGTCCCCAGCACTGCGCACACGGGGCTGTCGCATCCTTTCCAGAGGGAGGGAGAGCAGGAGTTTGCTCCCGCGCCTGGCAAGAAGTGGAGTCTATATAGGGTGGGGCGGGGAGCGAAGAATTCTCCACTTTGGATTGGTTTGTTTGTTTTAAATCTGGGGTGGGCAACTGGAGGGGCTTCAGCTATTGCATACACACGCACATGCACATGCATGCACATGCACGCACATGCACGCACATGAACACATATGCACACAGCACATTCGCCCTGCCCTCCAGGCTGCGCTGCCTGCTCCGGGCCACAGCTCCCTCTTCCTTCCTGCAGCGCCAGCTCGCCTTCCTCCCCCAGTCCGCGTTGGTTGCCACCGCTTCGCCTCCGCTGTTGCCCTAGCCGCCACGGCTGCTTGCACTGTCGGCGCGGGGCTGGCCGCCGGTCCGTGGGTCGCCTGTCCTCTCTTCGCCCCGGTCTGCTGGACGAAAGCGGGCGAAGGCTGCAACCCGGACACCTCGGGGACGTCGCTGTCCTCAGTCCCGGGCACACAGAGACCTGACCCGCATCGCGCACAGAGCAGCGCGGAGCCAGGGCGGATGAGGGGACCCGGCCGGCGAGTGCAGGGGTGCGGAGCTCGGTGCTACCTTCTTTGGAAATCTTTTCTTCCACTTAAAGTTTTCTTTTTTCCGTCCTGACCTGTTTGTGTTCGTGGGTTTGCAGCACAAATCAATTGCACATTTTCGGGACCCGCATTCGGACCGGATCCAGGGTGTAGGGGGAGGGGGTGCTACAAATGCGCCCCGCGGGCGTCTCCGCCGTCGCTCCCGCGGCGGCGCCCGCCCTCCCAGCTTCGCCGAGGTCCGCACCTCCTAGGCCGCGCAGCCCGAGCCTGCGCCGCACGGACAGCACTGCTCCGCGCCAGCTGCCCCAACTCCGGCCTCCGCGGGGCGCGATCGCGCGACCGCCGCGACTTTGCAGGGTCGCCGGGTCGTCGCGCGTGCAGCCCGGGCAGTGTGGCCGGGTCGCGGGGAGGAGGAGCCCGGCGGCGCCTGGGTGGCCGCGGAGACCCGGATAGGAGGAAGGAGCCCGCTGTGGCCCGGGTGGCCGCGGGCGCAGCCCCAGCACAAAGCTGCGCGAGTCTAGGCGGCCGCCGCACCGGGCCAGAGACACAATGCACCGGCCTAGGCCGAGCGCGGGGCGCACGCACGACCCCGGACCCGCAGGTCCCCACTCGGGCCAGAGGCGACACCCGGGCGGCGGCGGCGCGCGGAGGTGGGGACCCCGGAGGTCGGGGGCGGCCGAGGCCGGGGAGGGGGCAACACAGGGTGCGGAGGGAGGCAGCTCCACAGCAGGATCCGCGCGCGCTCGGGGCGCACGACCCGCCCTCCCGATCCCGCGCGCGACGGCCGGGTCCCCGCGGCCCAGCCCCGCCGGCAGCCGCTTTGTGCGACCCCCTCCCCCGTTACCTTTCCGGGCGCGCGGTCGCCGAGCTTCAGCGCCCTGGGTGCGGGCGGCCCATCCCGAGCCGCGGGGGCGCGCGGGCCAGAACCTGCGACCCCGAGGTCCCGCCGCGCGCTGGGCGGGGGCGCGGAGGGCGGGGACCGGGACCCGAGCAGCCGCGATCCGGGCGGAGGAAGAGAGCGAGGGGCGAGAGGAGGCGCGAGGGCGCGGCGGGCGGAGGGAGCGCGGCGTGCAGTGACAGGGACAGCCACTGGGGTCAAGGAGCACGCTCCGGGCGCCCCCGCACCCCGATCGCGGCCGCCAGAGCCCTGGGCCGCGAGGTGCGCGCGGCGAGGGCAGCGAGGGCGAGGCTGAAACCACGGGGTCAGGCGGGTGCGCGAGGCCGAGCCCAAGTTCACCTCGGTGCGCGATCGGCGTGGGGAGCCACTGAGCGCGGGGAGGGTGGGCCGTGGAGCCCTAGGATCGAGACCCTCCCCCGAAATGAGCCACTCACCCAGGCCCCCACCCAGCGACCTGCAGGGCACGGTTGAAGGCCCTGGCGCTGCTCCAGGGCGCAGAGCTCGCTGGGGGCGGGGGCGGGGACGGAGGGGCACTGACTCCGACTGAGGAGGGGACCCCGGCTCCCCTCCTATCTGCGGAGCGGGGCTGCCTCTGTGCCCCTTCCCAGAGCCTTTCATCGCGGCAGACGCGCGCGCACACACACACTCACACACTCACACACACACACACACACACACACACACACACACTCACCTCTTTCTGCAGTGTTGTTCTTGAGAAAGAAAAGGCCAACCCGGATGATTTTTTTTTTCTTTTTTCTTTCTTTCTTTCTTTTTTTTTTTTTTTTTTTTTTTTTACCTCTATGAATTAAGAAGGGTTCTGGAGAGAAGGTGAGGAGAAGCAAGGATTTTAATGGTGTCCATGCTTCTTACCACCAAAAGATGAGCACCTCAAAACATTTTAAACATCGAAGTTATTCCAGGGTTCTCTGCTACTTTGGAATATGGAAGGAAAGGCTTTCAGAATTGTGTGCCTCCATCCGGGAGAGAAAGAGCCGCTGGGATGCCGCAGGATGGGAACCAGGGAGAGGAGGCTTTTACCAAACTTGGCTGGAAGGGTCACCTGGGAAAGACTTGGTGGTCCTGTGATATTCCTGCCACTGTCAGAGCCTGAGGATTTGAGTCCAGAGCAGCTCTGATTCCCTCCAGGAACCAGACTCCAAGGTCTGTAGTCTCTGAAGGGAGTGCCACCTGTGTGTGTGTGTTTGTGTATGTGTGTGTGTGTGTGTGTGCACGTGTGTAAGAGACAGAGAGAGAAAAGTGCTAAGTGTACTGTGTGACAACTGACCAGACGTCCTGGCTGAAATTATACCCCCCAAAATAAAAGAGAGCCATTTCAACGTGGTCTGTGCCTCCTCCCTGCTGAAACTAATTGATTTCCAGGGTCTGGGAGGAAAGGAGAGAGGCTGGAAGGAGCCCCTGTAAAAGAAGATCAAACGGAATTCACTTGGAAATATTTCCCCTTTGCCATGGGCTTTCCTGGCATTTGAATTTTAAGTAACCAGTCTCTGAAACCTGGGCTGAAATAAGGGGAAATGGTCTCCCCAGTGGACTGGCCCCATGGTGCACTGTGCCCGGAGCCTTCTGCTTGTCAGATGTGCTGGGATGGAAAGGACAGTGGCTTCTATCCCAACAGAGTCACAGCAAGTGACGGTGACAGTGAAAGACGCCAGAGATGGGCCAAGGGGGCCCATTTGTAGTTCTGTGTTCTTTTGTTTCGCAGCCAGCCGTGCACAGGGATAGGATCACGAGTCTGAAGAAATGCCTGGTTTGGTTGCCTCCATACTAGCCTGCTCTGGATGCTTTGAAGTTTGGACTGATTTAGATTGATTTAATCAGTCAAAAAAAAATTCACCAGCCAAATAGTTTCTGTGGCTTCCTTCTTCTTTCTTCTTCTTTTTTTTTTTTTTTTGTAAACTACGCAGTAGTCCATCAAAGTCACCAAACTAGTTTGAACGTGATTTGGAATCCGAAAATGTACATCCCGGCGCAGAGGCCTCTACCTTAGTGGTAGACTTTAGAGGCTATTTAAAAGTATAAAAAATAAAAATCTCGAGTGTGTGGTGTAGTTGTACTTGGTGAAATTCATATGCCATTTTCCTGAGTGAGATAATATTGAGATAAAAAGCCTTAAAATTAGTTAGGCTTTGGTGTGCAGGAAGAAATCAGACCCTCCTGTGTCCCCACCGGTGGGTGAATTATGCAGTAGTAACCATGCTGTATCTGAGTTATGAATTTTTATTTCCATTAGACTACTAAAATAAAGAAATGTAATGGGGAGATGTGAGTGAATTTAAATAATAAATCAGGAATGAAAGGAAGTGGCTTTTCAAATACCCCTCGCCACGTAGATTTGTCTGTTAAATTATGTTCTCCACCACTACAGCTACCAGCGCTCACGACTTCTTTTAAAATGATTGGATGTGAACCATGTCTGTCCTCTGACAGAGGCTTTGAGACAGTACCTCATTATATTGAATTTTAAATGCTATATAGGCTTAGGCTTTTTTTTTAGGTGAGTGAGTTTCTACTTTCCATTTTTGTTGTTATTAAATTCAATTTTTATCGCTTATAATGAAACACAAAAGAAGGATGCAGATCAAATGCCAAGCCCATGATGGGCCTGAAGGAAATCTTACAAATATTTTCCTGTAAGTGCATATAAAGCTGGCCTTGCCCTCTAGTGTTTTCCTCAGTGGACCTGGTAAATACGTTACCTGATAGCTTTCTGGGATGCCTTTGAAGCTGCTTTTCAGAATGGACTAGGGGGAGAAAGTGAGAGAGGAGGGCGGGAAAACTTTGGGTGGGAGTCTGGAAGGTGGAGCTGCTTTTCCTAAAAGTTCAGTGCTTTATTTGGAGTTGGCCTCTGTTCTCTGGCAGCAGATTTTCCTACTTCCAGGACACACAGAGGTCTTGAAACTTGGTCCATCCTGAGATTCTTCTTCAGAAAGACAGTTCTTGAAATTATTAACTTTCAAGAGTTACTCACATCAATCTAACTCCAGGGGGAAAGCGGCAGCTATTTTACCCCTTTTTTCTTTAAATTGTATGTATTTTTATGTTTTCCTACAGAGGCTAAGATTACACCATCAAAGAAATAAAAAAAAGAGATTCATAATACAACTACTAGTTGTACAGTTGAAAAGGACAAAAAACTTCAGTGGACAAACTATTTTGTTCCATGGTTATTTTTACTTGTTTCAAATATTTTTATTATAATCCCTGCCTTTGTTGAAAAAATTCCCTTTCCATCCTTCATCCTCACATACTGCGCACACAGTAGAAACCTGGAATCTCCGTGAAGTGGCCACAGGGATGGGCCACAGGAGAGAACCATTCACCCGGAAGCAGAATCCCCAGCACATCTGCGGGAAGGGAAGTGACGACAGAAGGCCAGGCAGGTAGGAGTGAGGACTTTCCATGGAAGTGAGACGGCCCCTTTGCAAGGGTTTGCTAGTAGCCTTAGGAGCATAAAATACTGCAATAAGAACCTTTCAGAAATTAGTTTTCTCAGGAGCAAACTGAAGATTATGTGTCACATCTGCTGAAAGACAGACTTCTTTTTAAAGTACAGTAGAAAGCCAAGATTAAAAAAGAAAACCATGAGTAGAATCTGCCCTAACATTTTCAGGAACACATATTGTTCAATTTCAACATACATGAAAGTATGGACAGCTATTTTGAAGAGAATAAGAGAGATTACAGCAGCCATTGCTAATTTTTACTCTGTTCTGATCAGTTTTATACTATTTTATTTTGTATGAATTCATTGTGTGTGAAGATATGGACAATCATTTAGAAGAAAACAAGAGACATTATGGTAGCCACTGTAGATCTCCTGTTGTCTTGCTTTGAAATCTGTGTCACTTATTCTTCTGATTTGTTTTGTTCTGCTTTGTTATGTTTAAAAATAAAATAAAATAAAAAACAAACAAACAAAAAAAGATTTTCAAGAACAGTTTCCCAAGACACATTCTCAACAGAGACTTTCATGACGTATCTGAGTCTTGGGTAGATCTTTTCTGAAGTCCTCAAACTAAAGAACTAATTCTGAGTATCCTTTGTATTTAACATTTCATATATATATATATATATATATATATATATATATATAGAGAGAGAGAGAGAGAGAGAGAGATATAGATATAGATATAGATATAGATAGATAGATAGAT